TGTGTGTGTGTGTGTGTGTGTGTGTGTGTGTGGTGTGTATGTGTGTGCAGACCTCCAGGTGTGAGTGTGTGTGTGTGTGCGCATGTGCAAACCTCCAGGTGTGAGTGTGTGTGTGTGTGTATGTGTGTGTATGTGTGTGCAGACCTCCAGGTCCTGAAGCGTGAGGCTGGGAGGGCCAGGACAAAGAGGGAAGGAGGGCCGCAGAGCAGTGTCCTCAGTGAGGGGCTGTGGGAGGAAAGGTCCACAGCTGTGCCTGGCATGAGCTGGGTGCTGAAGCTCTTTTGATATAAAATAACCCCTGACAAGTATTAGACCCATTTCACAGATGGGGACACTGAGGCTCAGAGAGGTTGGCAAGTGGCTCATGATCACACAGCCATGAGGTGCCGGCCAGGAATGAGGCAGAAGCTTAGGAGACTCCTGGGTCCCGTCCGCTGCACCAGAGCGGGCCCCCGTCTCCCAGTGGGTTCCAACCGTGGGAGTGGTGTCCTGAGGGCTGTTAGGTTCTGCTCGGGGAGCCATGGCCCATCTCCTTCTCCGAGTCAGGAGAAGGTCCTCCCCCCTGTGAGGCCGGTCTCTGCTCCTGGGGCTGCACTTGCCCGGCTGGCGGCTGTTCTCTTCCCTCTTTACCTCCCCTCCCCCTCCCTCTCTCATACATGCACTTCCTTCTTTTTCACTCACCAAGTATTTGCGTGCCTACTATGAGGGAGGCTGACCTCTCTTCCAGGGCTGAGTGAGGGTTCAGTCCACGGAAGCATGTGCGTAGGTTGTGCCTGGGCCACCGCACATGTGAAGTCCATGTATCTGTTACCGCTGTTTTCTCACGACCGAAGACACTTCATTGACCTAATTGACTTCACACGAATGTTATTGTAGGAGCATTGCAGACTCCTTCAAACTTCAGCCTGTGTTTCTGTTTTCAAATATTTTTATTCATTTTTGGAGATGGAAGAAGGGAGAGGGAGAGAGGGGGAGACACATCGATGTGAGAGCAGAACATCGATCGATTGCTTCCTGCCCTCTTCCGGGGATTGAGCCTGCAACCCGGGCCTGTGCCCTGACTGGGGATCAAACTGGTGACCTTTTGGTGCATGAGACGATGCCCAACCGAGTCACGCTAGCCAGGGCCTGCATTTTTATTTTTAAAAATTTTAAAAAATATTTTTAATTGATTTCAGAGAAGAAAAGAGAGAGAGAGAGAGAGAAACATCAATGATGAGAGAGAGTCATTTATTGGCTGCCTCTTACATGCCTCCACTGGGGATTGAGCTTGCAACCTGGGCATGTGCCCTGACCGGGAATTGAACCGTGACCTCTTGGTTTAGAGGTCAACCCTCAACCGCTGAGCCACACCAGTCGGGGCTGCATTTTTATTGCCTTTTTATTTGTAAAGAACAGTCTGGCGAGTGCCTCTCCCTGTTGGAGGTACCCCTGTCTCATTTTGGGTGGGCGTGTTTGTCACGTGGATAAGGAGGCCTCCTGTTTGGAACAGGGACATGTGCCCCTTCTCGGTGGCAGCGCCCATGCTGCGGGCGTTTCCAGGCAGGGCCTCACCCTCTGCGCCTCCCCCGCCCCCACAGCCTTGGACTTCTATCAGAGTCGCAGCTCTTCCCCCGCCGCCTCCGGAGCGTCCCGCCTGCGGTCCAGCCCCTACGTGCCCCAGTGTGACGCGTTTGGAAACTGGGAGCCTGTGCAGTGCCACGCGGGGACCGGTGAGGGGGATGGGCCCCTGTGGGAGGCCGAGGGGCACCCCTTTTCATTTAGTGGAAAGAGCACACCTGGGGGCAGGAGCAGGACTC